ACCCAGGCTGCGAAGCCCCAACCGGGACCCGGCCCCGCAATCGGGCCCAGGCCCGAAACGTTGCCCCGCCCCCTCCTCGACTGCGGGGCTCGCCGGAACATCGGGCACTCTTGCGGCAGAATGCAGCAGAGAGCTTTTCGCACTTGCGGAGGGGCTGGGATGGGGACATAGGACGCGGCTGCAAGGCATGATGGGGGAAGGCGCAGGATGCGAGCGGCAACTGGAGGACGCGTCGCCCGACCGTTTCTGGACCCCGCAGTGGAGGCTCGCGGGGGCTAAGAGTTATACTGATGGTTGTCTGGCTAATACTGAGCGCTCGCGAGGCGCGAGCCCAGGTGGAGCGGAACGCCCGGGCGCGCGCGCGTTCCCGCGGGGCCGCCCGCGCCGCGAACGGCGCAGCGAGCGTTCCGTCGTCTCGCAGCTGAGCCCTGCCGCATCTCTTGCGCCGAGCGAACTGACGCGCGGGCCGGCGCCCAGCGCTGGCTGGAAGAATGAACGCTTCCGCGGGCTACGGCAGCGCGCGCGCCCGCGCGTTGCCAGAGCGCGCCGATGGCGCGAGCAGTGCCCTGTCGGGGCCGTATACGCGAGACGCGCGAGGGACGACGATGTTGACCTGTCCGCGCGACCCCGAGGTATCGTCCGATATTTCAGAAGAGACAGGCATCCCCGTCAAGTGTGTTATGATGGAGCCAGCCAGGCGCTGGAGCTCCACATCGCTCGCCGGGGATTTCATCAACCGCGACGCCGACGCTAACACGCCCATGGCTTTCATCATGGGCTTGGCGCTTGGCTCGGAAACTTCATGTTATAACCGAACCAGCGCGTCGCGCGCCTTCCTCCCCCCCGCCCCTAGACGCGGCGCGAGCTCTGATATTTCCTTTCTGAGAGCGTCCAGGCGAACGGTCTCCGCCTCGATGTCGGACACGTCTTGCCCGCTTCGCGCCGACGCGAACGCCGCTGCGCTCGCGCGTCGCAGCCCTCGAGCCAACGCGCGCACGAGGTGGCGGCGCGCGCGTCGACCGCGCTGCGCGGCCCGCGCGAGGGAGCCGCACGCAGCGCGCGCGCGCCAGAGGCGCGCCTCCTTGGGCTGGCGCGCTCGGACTGCCGAAGAACTTCGGAGAGGCGCCCGCGATTTGCATGCCGCCAACCCCCGTCGCGCATTGCCTGTGCCGTCGCGGCGGCGCGCCGCGTCTGCGACGCTGAGTGCGCGGCCACTCCTCTTGCGAAGCGCCGAGGATCCGGTTCGCCGCGCGCGCAAACTTGGACGCCATGTCTGCGTCGGCTTCAGCCTCGCCGACGAGATGGGCAAGTCGACCGCGGAAGCTTTGCGCGTATGCAAAGCCCCCCCCCCCCCCGCGCAACTCGCCGCGCCCCAGGGCGCCGACCCCCTGGGCTGGGCGAGGCGCCGCAACTCGCTGCGCCGAGCGGCTGCTCGTAGAGCCGCCATCTCGCGCTGGCTAACGACGCGAAGCGCGGGGCGAAAAGCAAATCTGGGCGTGCCCTGCGCTCCTTGGAAGGCGCGGACGTCTGGCCCGCTGCCGCTCGTATCCTGCCACGCAAGCGAAGGCCGCGCGCGCGGCAACGCGGTCGCGTTGGTCTGACCCGCGCGGCGAATTCATATTGCACGCGCACGGCCTCGGCCAGGCCAGTTCGGGCGCTCGCGCAATCCACTTCGGGGCAGCCCGCGAGCGCCGTCGCGGGGCGACCGCCCACGCCCTGCTCGGCAGCCGCAGCGGCGGCGCCATGGTGCTGCACGAGCGCGCAGCGACGGGCACATCGCGCAGAGAGCCATGGCTGCAGCCCCCCCCCCTCGGAAAGCGCAAGCCTAAAGGCAAACTACCCTGCCGCAATTCCGCCCTGGGCCGCGCGGGCTGATGGCGTGCGTGCGCGAATTTCTGCGTGCGCAGGACGCTTCGCCCATCGGAGTCGGCCCCGCGGCGTAATCGTTGAGCTTTGCGCCTCAAATGCCAGTGGCCGCCCTGCCTCGCTTGTCAAACGCTTGCGCGTCGCATCAAGCACTTGTCCCGCATGTTGCTGCATGCGTCCAACGCGCGCGCGCGCGCCTGCGTATGTCTGCGCGCTTCTTGCGAGTGGGCGAGCTCGAGGGGGCGGGAATCGACTGGGAGCGGAATCCTGGTTGCCCCGAGCCACCGTCAATGCACTTCGCCCTGCGCCTCAAGAGATTCACTAAGAGCGCGGCCCAGAAAAAAAAGAAATAAAAAAAGGAAAACAAATCCTGGCAATGGACCCAATCATATGCAGTTACGAGTACCGCAAAACAGGTTGAACGAATGAGAGGGAGCTACCTATGGGGCCACGAAGCGCGTGAGGGGTGTGCCGAAATGGGTGCAGTGCCGCCATGCGGACGCAGCCACTGGGGCCCTCGGTGGAGCTCCCTATGGGGCCACGAAGCGTGTGAGGGGTGTGCCGAAATGTGCGGCGCCGCCATGCGGGCGCAGCCACTGGGGCCCTCGGTGGAGCTCCCTATGGGGCCACGCAACGTGTGAGGGGTGTGCCGAAATGAGTGCGGTGCCGCAATGCGGACGCAGCCACTGGGGCCCTCGGTGGAGCTCCCTATGGGGCCACGAAGCGTGTGAGGGGTGTGCCGAAATGGGTGCGGTGCCGCCATGAGGACGCAGCCACTGAGGCCCTCGGTGGAGTTCCCTATGGGGCCACGAAGCGTGTGAGGGGTGTGCCGAAATGGTTACTGTGCCGCCGTGCGGACGCAGCCACTGGGGCCCTCGGTGGAGCTCCCTATGGGGCCACGAAACGTGTGAAGGGTGTGCCGAAATGGGTGCGGTGCCGCCATGCGGACGCAGCCATTGGGGCCCTCGGTGGGGCTCCCTATGGGGCCACGAAACGTGTGAGGGGCGTGCCGGAATGGGTGTGGCTGACGCGGAGGGGGAGGAGGGAGGAGGGGGCAGAGGGAGGAAGGAAGGAAGGAAGGAGTGAACGCGGGGCGCTCTCCCTTCAAAAAGAGGACCCAACACCACAGGATGGTTGGGAAAAAGCAGGTTGCGCTGTCGCACTGCACTCTATGCTGGAGTTGCATGCGCCTCGGCAACAATGCACCGCCTCGGCGAGCGGAGAAGATTCGCTTCCCCATCGCTGCAGACCACGGGGTACAAGCTCGACACTGGGCGCTGCGTCCTGGCGGCGTGCCCCTGTCCAGGATGCGTCGCGATGCGCCCAGACTGCGCCGCGCGCAATGGGCCCCTTAGCACTTGCTAAATTGGGGCCCACAGAGAACGCTGCGATATTCTGGGCCCACGCGCCAAAACCAGACGACAAATCCAACATCCACGGATCACGCGTGAAATTTCGCGGCTTGGCACCGCGCGCGCACGGTCGCCACTTTGCGCGTTTGCGAGCAGCCGCGCATAATGCAGCGCTCGACGCAGCGCGCAGCGATGTGAGACCAGGAGGACGATGCGTTTCCTACAGGGACGCCAATGAAAGGGACTGCTGAGACCGCGGCGTTGCATCTCATACTGACTTCGAGAAGTGCGAGTGACAGAGTGATGCGGCGACACTGTGAGTGAAGCCGAGCAGACGTGAGAAATCGGCATCGCCGGTCTCACAAGTTCCTTTCCCTGGGGTCCCTGTTGGAACCACGTGAGAAGGTGCGCTAGGATCGGACTGCGGCAATGGAGGAAACCAACAATGGAACATACGCGCGCATCGCCCTCGCCATCGCGCCCCGTGGCGCAGTGAGGCCTGGTCAGCTGGGAAGCGGTGGAACACGTTTTTCCTGCTCGGCTGCAACCCCCCCCCCGCCCCCTCCCCATGCAGACGTTCGCGCTGCCGGCGCCGTCGCCATTGCCCACCTGGACGTTATTGCAACTACCTGCTGTGGGTGCTCCTGCTGACACCCTTGCGCTTCTGCTTCAACCTCCAATTGAACTGATGATGCTGCAGCCGACGCGGCTGCAACTGCAGCTGCTGCTGCGCCAACTGCGGTCGCTCATGCAGCGCACTGGCTGAGCGTTGTGCTCGCGCAGGTGAAGACGCATCTCGCGGCGGCGGGGGGGGAGGCTGGGGGGTGGTTGGTTGGGTGCGGGGGGCGGCGGGGTGGTGGGTGGTTGGTTAGGCCGGGGCGTGGGTCGGGTGGGGGGGGGGCGGGGTGGGTGGCGGCCACTCCGAATGTGGGGGTGGGGGGTGTTCGTGGGGGGGGGGTTGCTGGGGTGAGGGGTGGGCGCGGGGCTGGTAGGCCGCGGGGGGTAAGTGGTGGGAGGTGGGGGTCCGGTTGACCGGTGGGGGGGAGGTTTGGGGGGGTTAGGTCCGGGGGGATGGAGGGGGGTCGGGGGTCCGGGCCGGTGGTGGGTAACGACCGCAGGGCTCGCCGTCGCCGACTATATGTCGCCCCCGAAGTCATCCGAGGCACAGGGCGGCATCGCTGCGACGAAGGCAACGGACACGGGGCCTCATCGAAGCCATCGCGCAGGTCTGCAACGAAGTATGACCAGTGACGTTCATCGTCGGCGCAGGTGCCACTTCCTTCGCGCGCGGCGCTGCCTGCGCGGCCACGGCGGCGGCCGGCGGCGAGGCGGCGTCGCCGCCAGAGGCCGTCGCGATCATGGCCGAGGACCTCGTCTTTGAGGAGCACTGCGGCCCGTTGCGGGCAACCAGGAACGCAGGAAGTGCCAGCTGGAAGCGCTGCCAGCCGCGCGAGCGCGCGAGGTCGACGGCGACCGCGGCGACGCGGACATTGATGTTTTTCAGCATCGGCAGGAACTGCTGTTGGCATTCGCCTTTTCTTCCGACGCGATCTCGATTGGGCCGAGGCGCCCTGGGGCCAGGCTCCCGCCCTAGCAAATTCGAACGACCGCGACCCCGCGCCCCGCAGGCGATCGCGCGCGCGCAGCTCGCTGCGAGCCCTCGCCAATCGCAGCAACGCTGCCTTCCCGAGCACGAACGCCACTCGAAAGCAGCGTCTTCAACTCGCGATTGCCAGCTCGTCGCCGCGCAGCGCATACAAGTCGCGCAGGACACTCGCAGACCGATCGCGGGAACATGACGGTGGCGCGACGTCGCAGCGCGGCGCTGCCATTGCCCGAACGCTCAGCGAGCTCCGCGAATTCTGCGCGGTGCCGGCGCTGGCCGGTGAATCGCAGACAACCCGGCCCGGCGTGGCCTAACGGAGCGGGCTCTCGTCGGCGGGCTCATCGCTCCCCAAGATCGGGACCCCAGGGGTCGGGGCGTCGTCGTACGACGCTGGGTCCTCCGCGGAATCCATGCCTCCTGGCCCATGGTCGGGAACAGGGCAATCGCTCGGGAACGGGTTCGCCTCGTCGAAACTTGAATACTGCGGAGGCAATCGATGCTTCCACGGCGACGCGCTTCGCCGCCCCGCCGTGGCAAGTTCCAATCGACGGCCAGGCCGTGTTCCAATAAAACGCTTGCGCACACACGGGCGGCACAGACACCATCGAGCACGGGCCAGCGACGTCGCTGATCCAAAACCCAGGGCACGTGATCAGCGGCAGGATGCAGAGGTGGAGGCACATTGGTGCCCGGCCGCCCGCGGCGATGGGCTCTTCGCCCGACTGCGGCACTGTGCATCGGGGATATATAGAAGAACACTGCATGCTCATGAACGCCGAGAAGCACCTGCGTCGCCCGAGCAACAGCGGCCGATCTAGGGCGCCCCGCGGCGACGTCGGAGGCGAGATGCGCTGCCCCGCGCTCTATACCTCGGCCGACGGCGCGACCCGGGGCGGGGCCGAACCAGAAGCGCTTCGACGGAGAGTGACATCGCGTCGCCCGTCTACCCCACCTTTTCCGCGTAAGCGGCGGGGAAGCCCGCAATGATGCCGTCCAGGGCGGAATCCTTCGGCCCCCGGGCGCGCCGGCGGCGGCGCTGGGCCCAGCGCCGCGGACGCGCGTCGTCGGGTCGCCGTGACGTCTGCAAGCACGAAGTCGGCCATGGTGATCTGGGCAGGAACGCGCCGGAGAGGCCGCGTCGCGGGCGATCGCGACCCGCGGGCCGCCGCGCCGGGTACAGGACGGCACCAAAACAATTGTGGCCTGCGAGCGGGCACCCCGCCCCCGCGGAAGCCACCCCCAGCGGGGGATTCGAGCCCCGCGCGACGCGCAACACGCTCGAGCGAAGCAGAGAGCTAGCCCATGTTTTTCGGAGGAGCACTGCGAACCAAGCAACGCAAGGCAACCCAGCACGACGCAGCGCACGAGAAACTACGCGCCGCAACGCGCGCCAAGCGCGCTGCGCGGCAGTGGGCAACAAAACAAATCGCAGCATTTAAAAACCACTCGCCGCAACGCGCAACAACGCAAAACAACGCAATGATGCACGGCGACGCGTGAGGCACGGCCACCGAACATAATGTTGCAATTCGATGCTTTTCAGAGCCACGCGATGGATTGCACTGCTACCGACCAGCCAGAAGCACAGCAAAGACACGCAACGCAACATTATGCATAGACTGACCATGCTAAACAATGCAAAGCACAGCAAGTCAAATCGCAGACTCGGAATGCATCGCAACGCGCAGCTACGCAACGCTTTCCAAATAAAGGAAAGCGGCGAAAATGAAACCACGCAAAGACTTCGCGGCGTTGGAGGAGAACGCATCAAGGCATTGCGACACAGACGAGGGTCAATCAAAAGACCCCCTGGGATTCCCAAAGGAACTTCGGAAACCGCCCATGGGGCTCGGCAGGGGGGGCACGAAGCCCCCGTGGATAAGGGCCGCGCACCTGTGACCATCGGCGCTGAATAGCGAACGCACGGCGTCGGAGCCCACGGCGCGCCGCGCGACGCGTAATCTGAAGGGCGCCGCACGGCAGCGGTTGATCTGCGAGCGCTTCGCCAGTCCGCGCCATCGCGATCGCCGCGCGGCGCAGCGCGCGATCGCGCTGTTCCAGATTGGCGGCCCCTGGCAACTTTCGCGCGCCGCGAATCGCACGCGCCCCGCCGCGGCGCGAAGCGCACGCGGGCGGCCCGCTCCTCCGCGCGCGCGCGCGCTCCACCTGCGAACACGGCGCGCGACGGCCCCATCCTCCCACCCACTCCCCCAACCCATACCCCGTCCCCCGACCCCAGAAAGTGCAACGGTGCTCCGGGGGTGCAGAACGACCTTGGGGTGACCAAACCCCCCGAATGGAACACCTGCGTGAAGAAGGCAAGACCCTGGCGTGGCTCGCCAGTAATGCCGCTCTCCCCACGGGGAAAGCGAACACTGCCGGCGTCCGGCGCCGCCCTCGCCGTCCCGAGCACCCCGCCGGGGGTCGGGATACGGCGGGCGTGTTCGCGCGCGCAAAACATGTCGCGCACCTGTCAGACGTTACACCTGGTGATGCGACCGCTGCCAGCGGCCACCAGGGATGGAAGGCCCCCTCCCCGCACGCGCTGACCTGCGCGGCGTTCTCGCACCTGCGACGCACACGTTCGGCCGACCCGAGGCAGGACCCCCCGCAGCCGGTGCGCATCGCCTCTTGCACGGCGAAGTCCACGCCGGCGCCCATCCCAATTCTCCCCGGTAACCCCACCGGGGCCCAGGGTGTGGTGGGTGGGAAACAAACCAACAGCAACCGCTGTCGCCAACGCGCTTTGCTCGCACGATCCAATTGCGCGCTCTGATGCGCGCAGTCCCTGCGAGCGCGCGCGGGCGTCCCCTACTGTCATGATTATGGTTCCCTGACCCGAGCCTCCCCGAGCCTAAAGTCAACGCATAATCACCGACAGCCTATTCCCCGCGCCGCGCCCTGCGCGGCCCCTGGCAACTTTCGCGCGCCGCGAATCGCACGCGCCCCGCCGCGGCGCGAAGCGCACGCGGGCGGCCCGCTCCTCGCGCGCGCGCGCGCTCACCTGCGAACACGGCGCGCGACGGGCCCCCATCCCACACCATTCCCCCAACCCATACCCCGTCCCCCGACCCCAGAAAGTGTAACGGTGCTCCGGGGGTGCAGAACGACCTTGGGGTGACCAAACCCCCCGAATGGAACACCTGCGTGAAGAAGGCAAGACCCTGGCGTGGCTCGCCAGTAATGCCGCTCTCCCCAACGCTGCTCTGGCTCCGCGTTTCTGCACCCCCAACGCTGTTCTGGGTCCGACGCCGCTCCGCAATCGCGCGTCGATGTACACGGCGCCCCGTGTCTGAGGCATGCCCGTGCCCCGCGGCCGGGCCCGCGCTCACCTCTCCTGCGCGGACTCCTTCTTACGGCGAATCCACTGAGCCTGGCGCGGCACGCTGCACGCCGCGGCCCACCCCCCGCGAATTGCCCTCGCGGATCGCGCCTTCCGCGCGCCGTAGCACCCAACGCCACGCGTCTAGTAAGCACCCGCGCCACGCGGCCGGGTCCACTCTCACCTCGCCGGTACGAAAACCATTCTCCCGGGCGAAGCTATCCTCGCCGAGCCGCCTGGCACCGCGCGAGTGGACGACTCGGGGGAAGGCCGCCCCCGCGCGCGTACGGCGCGCCGTGAGATCCCGTCCGACCAGTTGCTTTTCGAGTCTACCCACTCGAGCCAGGTGGACATGTCGCAGTGAAACTGGCGCGACACGCTGCACGGCGCGTCCCCCCGCGATTTGCCCTCGCGGCGCGCGCCTTGAAGAAATTCATAAGCTTGACGCTCCGGTCCAGGGTAGCATGGTCGCACCTGCCACTCACGAAGCTGTGGAGAGCGCTCGTGTTGTCAAGCACCCACAGGATGCGCCTCCCTCGGCACCTCCGCGCCTCTTGCGCCAGGACAATGGGGACCATGGCCCCCTCACAGAGGGCGATCGGATTCGCGCCCCTCTCCCGGTCCGCCGGCGAGAAACCCCACTCCGCGAGTATGGCATCGTCGAATACACACCATCCTCCCACACGCTCCCCTGTCAAGCAATCGACCAGGAGGTAGCCGCCTGTGGGCGCGGTCGCCCCGTCAGCCCGCGCGTCGCTTGCGATCACAATCAGCGGACACGAGGGCGGGCTCACGTCGACGCTTCTCTTCGGGGCAAGGTCTATTACAAATTCGAAGTAATCGAAGCACCGCCGAATCGCGTGGGATAACGCCCACGGAGGCGCGTCAGTGTACTGCCTCTGCTTCAGCGGCGCCATCGCGGCGCTGCCGACGCCGTTGAACATCGCGGAGGACGACCACTGCAGAATGCCCCGGAGCTTCGAGGCCTCCGCTGGTGTCAGGCTGTTCCGCGCACGGTGCTCCGCGAGCAGGCCTTTGATTTTGTCAATCATGCTGGCCTTCGGCCAAAAGGAGACCACCCCTCTGCCTTCAAAAACCCGAGACACGTCGTGATCGACTCCCAAGAATGCCCCAGTGGCGGCCATGCGCTGCTGCTTCGCGCTGGCATTCGGGGTACCCAACTCCGAAAACAAGACGTTGAGTAAAGCCTGTCCCGAGCCTTTCGCCAATCCGAGGTCCCCAAGACTGCCATCATCGACATACATTGTGTGCAACAATGCCGCCACGCGCCTGGCAGCGGCTTCCAGAAAGGCAGACCACCGCATGAAATTCATAACACTCGACGACAAGCCGAACAGCATGGCGAATGCAGTCAAGTATCGCCACTCCCCGCTGCGCGGTTCCCGCGCCGCAATGACGTTATATCGCAGCTGCGCGGGATTGACCGGCACGGACCTGTATGCGTCCGGCAGGTCCTCGCCTCCAGTCTCAAGGGTTAAGCCCTCATCGGCAAAGCCTCCCGCCGCAGCTTCCTGCCTGAGGGCGCACGCCAAACACCGGGCCGGACCACGCCCCTTGGACACCGGAGGGGCCCACTAGGCCCACACGAACGGACCCGGGGGAACGGCCCGCGGGAAACCCGCGACACACCGGCCGGCGGGGAGGGGGAAAAGGCCACCTCCGGTGTTTGGCGTACCTCCCGACCGCTGCCTCAAGACTTTGCCATACAATGCAGGCGTGAACGCTGATGGCAAGTGCCACTTCTCAGGGTACACCGTCGCGCCGTTCTGCCCACCGGCTTTAGCATCGTCTATCCGCCGACGCTTGCCGTTCTGCTGCACGTGCACGAACGACGGCACGGCCGCCCAGCGCCCGGCGCCGTACTCGCGGTCCATCGCGGCCAGCGACGCCGGAGGAGCAGCCCAGCCCTTCTCGCATTCCTTCAAGCATGATTCCCAGAGAAACTCAGCCTCAGGATCAACCCGTCGCTTGTCCCTGGAACGTAAAAGCGCGGTGGACTCCGCCAACAAGCGGTCTTCAGAAACAGGTTCCGAACTTTCGCACCGCTCCCAGACACCCGTCTCCTCCAATCGCCCCACGATATTGAAGCCGGTCACAAATCTCTGGGCCAGCTGCCAATCCGGCCAACCCATCACCCAAGTCAGAACACAAATCAGCGCGATGTGGGTGTTCTGCGCCACGGCATGTACTGAGGGGCTTTGCCAGAGCCGAAGGGCGCGGGACACCGGCGCCAGCCTTTGACTAAGCTCCTTCAACGCCCCGGCGCAAGACTCGCGCCACTGCCTCAGCCGATTACCACCGGCCCACGCGAACGCAACCGTGGCAAAGGCAGCATACTTCAAATCAACGGGTGCCATGTACTCATCGTCGAATGGCAATCGCCCCGCGCTCGCGAATTCGATGCATTGAGCGAGGTGTGCCCGCTCCCCCACGCCGAGTTCGATAACCGGCGCCAGCGCTAGCCTGTGGTCGAGCACGCCTGCCTGGCGACCCAACACGGCGCTCGCGCGCCCCTTGGAATTTCTGCCCAGAGAACATCCCAGAGGTAGTCCTTCGTCCTGCAGCTCCGCCCAGATGGCGAAATCAACGAATGGCGAAGTATTCAACAAGTCTTGCAAGAACGGGATGGGAACTCCCACCAGCCACTCTTCCGGAAAGGACTTCCGAATTTTCACAGCGATGTCCGCCTGGCTCCATCGCACGCCCACGACGCTGGGGCACGCGACCCCACTGGTGACTACCCCTTCTGCCGCGGCGGGCGGCGCGGCAGCGGGTGCGTTTCAATCGCCCTTGCGGCCGCGCTTGCCGCCGTCGGCCGCGCCCCCGCTCGCGTTCCTCGTGTCGCAAACTACAACGCCGGGTGTTCCGAACATTCGGCGCTAACCGTCGCCTTTCCCGGACCCAGGGCGCCCCCGGACCCGGGCCGCCCCCTTTAAGCTAACAGGGAAACCAAAAACTGAGACCCGGGCTCCTGGTGCACTTGAGGGCGCAGTGGTTCGACATGCCACACAAGCGCCCCGTCTTGTTGATCACGACGGAACAGACGTGCTTATACCCGCGAGGGCACGGCTCGGAGCACTCCCCGGCGTTGAACTTGCGACACACCTGGGTTCCGTCTTTCAACCGATCGCCCAACTGCGCGCCCTTGCCACCTGTCCGCTGGCTCCGCCCGACGCTCGTCGGCGGCCGCTGCGGCCCGGGAGCTGGCGGTGAGGGCGGGCTCCACATGACCTCGCGAGTCTGCAAGCCCTCGCGGATTATCTTCCCGACGCTCAGCTCGCTGGTGCGGACCCTGTCCGTCCACCAAGCGCGCTCCTCCTCGTCCCGACGCACGACGTTAGGCAGCGCAATCGAGAACGGCATCGCACTGGCGTACTTGACCAAACGGAAATGGTAGGCCATCGCGACATCCAACGGAATCTGCACGAAATCCGTCGTATCCGAAGACGCCTTCTCTGGCGTCCCGGGCGCCGGGTCAATCGGCTTCACCCCAGCGCGCGCGTATGCCACCATGAGAACCTGGTGCAACGCGATATAGGTTTTCAAGTCCTTCGCGGGATCCGGATCTTCCTTCTCATCGCACACGAATTCGACATCCCCAATGCGCTGCCGCTTCCTGGCAGCCCTCGCGGCATTCAGCAACGTGCGGACCTTCCATACACTCATCATCGTCACCTGGCGCCTGCCGACCATGGGGGGCCGCGCGCGCGACGCGGTCACCCCCTCCGCGTGCAATGGGACGCGCCTGCCCAGCTCCCTGCTGATCTTACTGACCAGCGCTTCGGACGGCTCACACTCCGCTGGGTACGCCATCCTATACCGAGCGAAGAACTGCTCGCTCAATTCAGCGAGCTGCGGCGACGGCAATGGGACATCGTCGCTCTCGTCCAATCCGCGCCTCTTCCGGGTCTCGGACTCCCGGGCGGCATCGCACACGGCTTTCCACGCCTGCCGCACTACGCGCTCGAACTGCGGCGCGGGCCAGGCAGGGCCCCCCCCCGCGCAGGCGAAGGCCGCGCCTGGCGCACGCGGGACAGCTGTCCCAGCCTCCTCTCGAGATCCGGCACGCGCTCGAGGATCGGCGCCCACTCGTTCTCGCTCGTGACGGCATGCGCGAAATCGATCAACGTCTCTAGACCCACGGTTTCGACCAGGTGGGTGGCGATGCGCTCATCAAACTGATACTTCGCGGCCAGCTCCCTGAATTGTGCAGCGGCGTCGCGAGCGCCGACGCGCCCCGGCAGCGCAATGCCGTCAACTGACAAAGACATACCGAGAACCACACGTGTCGCTCCGCTAAACCTACTCTCTGGACCGCGTTCGAGCCCACCTCGGGGCGCGCATACGCATCCGTTAAGTTGGCATTCGCTGGCAGGCCCACGCGCAACTCCGCGCGTCTCCGCCGCGATGACGTCACCACCTCACGCCGGGGCTGCCCGGCCGCGCAACTTTTCACACGCCGCGCACACCAGGGCTCCCTCCGGGAGCGCCGGGAACCACTGCAGATCACTCAATCCATTCTGACATAGGTTCGTCACTGGCCCGAACTCACTGTCCGTCCAGGCTCTGGACTTTTTGAGGCGACGAATTACGGGCATCGCGACGTGATATCGAGGCCCCATAACCTCCCTTACCCGGGTAGCCCTCCCAGGCTCAGACTGCACGTACCCGATCGCGCCCCGCGGCTCGGGCGACGGGCCCACGGCTCGCGACGCGCGCGCGGATGATCCCTCCGCAACCTGCCTGACTGGCGGCGCGCAGTGCGCTGGCGCGCCATCTGAGCCCTTTACGTCACATTCACCCAACTCCGCGCCCTGCGCTGCCTCGTCACCTGGAAGCGCGGTCACCGCGCGACCGGCGCAGTCAACTCCCCGCGCTTGGAACGCGGCCGGGCCTGCACGGGTTGCGTCTCCCGGCCGCACCGACACTTCATCTCCCCTGGACCTGGGGATGGAGACAGCCTCCAATGCCGCCCACGCCCGGGCACAATACCGCTGGGCCGCGCGATCGACCCGCGGTTCGCCCTGCGCGGCCCGCAATGGCAACCGACGCCGGACTGGCGCGCGCTCCCGCCTCTGCTGGTCGCTTGTTTTTGCCGGCAGCTTTCGGCGCTCTGCGTGGACTCGCAGGCGCAGGCAACGCGTTCCCACGCAAACCGCCCGGCGCTTTACCGCGCCCCCCCCGCTTTGCACGCGGTGCCCCCGACGCGAGGGTTTGCGCAACGCGCGCACGCGCGCCCGGCGCTTCGGCGCCCGCCCCCCCCTCACCGCTCTTACCCGCGGCGCCCCCGTCGGCAGGACCCCGACAAATGGGTGGAGGCGCGCCCGGCGCTTTACCGCGCCCCACCCGCTGTCCACGCGGGGCCACGATTATCCGGAGAAACTTCTGCCGCCTCAACTCCTCGACGACCGACGCGGGCAAGAACGCGGCCTTCTCACGAACGGTCGACACCGCCACCCGCTGCTGCGCCTCTTTCTCTAGGTCGGCCATCATTACTTTTCCTGGCGCAGAACTCGCCCAGCATCGCACTTGCTCCCACTGCACTGGGGCCTCCAGATCGGTCCGCAGGCACGACAACACTCCGGCCATGTGCAGGCGCGTGCACATCTCGGCTTGCCGCCGACGCGCGTTATACACGATCGGCATCTGGTTCCGACGGGAGTTGTCTCCCCCCTCCGTCCAACCGCCCGAGATGTCTCGGGCTTCCCAGTCCAATTGTATCGCGCTCGCCCATGTAGGCCCAGCCCGGCGCAAACTGTACGAAGTCACAAGATCTAACTGGGAATCGTCCGCTAGCGAGCCTCGGAATACTTCCTTCAGCGATAGGTTAAAGGCACCCAACTTCACCGGCGCGCCGGAAACTGGATCGAAGACGAGCCCCGTCGGCACAGCCCTTCCTGCTCGATCTTCCCGCGCCGCCAACTTGTGCCAACCATCCCACAAGGCGTCAGCGGCGGACCGCGCGCCACCTAGCCGCCTCGGCAAGCACCAATCGAACGAAGGTCGCCCCTGTCGCTTTCCCTGCTTCCCCCTCGATGCGCGGAACCAGCAAAAATAAACAGACTTCTCTAAAGGCCTAGAGCGCAGCAGGTGCGTGTACCTCACCCACGCGAATACCGCCGCCAGCATCCCAGCCGCGAGCATGACTTGCCCAGGCGTTCTCGCGCCATCCAGGAAATCGATCACATGGTAAATCATCTCGGGTTCGACGACAGTGGCCTGGGCCGGCGGTGCTACGGTTCCACTGCCTGGATCACGTGGCACAGGGCGAAACGCATCGTCCAGGCAGAAAGGCGCTTTCAAATGTACGCACATCCACTTCAAGGCGTTCCAGATCCTGACGCCGGACGTCCGTGCGATCGAGAGCTTATGCACGAACTCGGCGACTGCCATGGGTTGCCGCGCCAGACTCGTCGCCGGCTGCCCTTGCCGGCCCGCCCACTCGGCCCACTGCCCCCACACGCGCAAGGCCGTGCGCAGCGTCCCGGATTCGAAATTACTCAGCCTAAACACCGCCGCGGACGAGACGTCGGCGAGCATCTCGGCCTGCGCCTCCTGCAACCCCTGCCCGAGGCCGCTTTCCGGGCGCCATTCAAGCGACACTCGAACTGCGCTGACCGCCAGCTGAACGCGCCCCTCACGCTCTGCCGCCTCCGTCGCCACTGCGGCACAGCGTCTCGGCCGACCGCGGCGCGCGGCGGTAGGCCCACGCCCTTTCCCCGCCGCGGCCCCCGCGCTCACGGCGGGCGCGGCGGCCGCCGCCGCGCCGCCAAATCGCCCCTCCGCGCAAATGCCATGCGCGGGCACCAGCCACGGCGTCACCCGCGCCACGTCCCGAGCCACGGCCCAGGCCGTGGGCACTCCACACTGCTCCGCCTCGTCCGTCGAGCAAAACAAATGCGCTAAATCGCCAGCCGACTCCAGTCCCTCTCTCTGCACGAGCGCAGAAAGGGACTCGCGCTCGGAGGAATCGACCCTCCAATCTAAGAACTCTTCGATGAAGAGCTCTCCGCGCTGCCCGGCCATCAGCAGCACACAAGCAAGAAACAAACCAACAGCAACCGCTGTCGCCAACGCGCTTTGCTCGCACGATCCAATTGCGCGCTCTGGTGCGCGCAGTCCCTGCGAGCGCGCGCGGGCGTCCCCTTCTGTCATGATTATGGTTCCCTGACCCGAGCCTCCCCGAGCCTAAATAAAGTCAACGCACGAGCCACCGCGACGCAGCGGCTCGCGGGCGGCCGCGGACCGCGTGAATGATGGCGGCGATCGCGGTCTGGCGGCGCAGCGCCCACTCGCGCGAACGATCGCACCACTCGGGCCGCGCGCGGCCCCGACCAGCCTTCGCGGCGTCGGCGCCGGCCAGAGAGATTGCACCATGCGCGAGGCGCCCCCCCAGGCGCGTGCCCCCGCCCGGTCGCGCGGCGAAGCAGCGCAGGGCCCTTGGAAAGCCTGGAGAAGGCCGCCGCCCAAGCCAAGACCTTGCGACGCTAGCGCCTCGGAGCGCGCGCAAGCCCCCGGCGCGCGGGCGGCTCGCGGTCGCTGCGCCATTGGCTGGAGCAGCCCTGCAGCAGCGGGGCCCTGCGCTTGTTCGACGAGGTCGTAAGCGCTGCCGCGCGCAGCGAGGCCCCGTGCCCCTTCGCGCGCCGGGCGGGGCGCCGCACCTCTTCGACGCATCGACGCCGAAGAGCTGATCCACGGCGCCGCCCTCCAAAAAAGTCGCGCGACAGGCGCGGCGCGCCGTTCCAACCGCAAACGCGGCGCCGGGAAAGCTGCGACCTCCGTCGCGGGATCGGCGCGACGATAATTCTCATCGCCTGGCACGCGCCTCGCGCTTGAGTCTGGGCTCGCACAGCTCCTGGCGCGCTGGGCTGCGCTGCCGACGACGCCCTTGTCGCAGTGGGGCCTTCTGGTCCGCGCCGCGGTTATAGCCGAGACCCCGTTGCGCGCGGAGGGCGCGCCCCCCTGCCGTGACTGCCGGCGCTGGCGCTCGCGGCCTGCTAGGGCCCGCCGCGTATGCCGCGAGTGCGTGCGCTGCTCGGTACATTGCCTCCCCTTCTTTCAGCTGACGCAGAAGACCGCTGCGCGCCTGATGCGAAGAACGCGCGGGCGAAGCGATCGCGGCAACCAGCCATCGCAGCAAAGACTTGCGCGCGAGATCAAAGGTCGCAGTCCGCATGTCATAAAGCGCGGGCCAATGACTCTCGGCACCAGCAGTGCTCGCTCAATGCCGAACGACCCCGCCAAGCTCCGCCCAGCGCGCTCGCGCCGATCATGACGAAACCTTCCGGTCGAAGCTGCGCCAGCCACTGCCGCGACACCGACAACTCGCGCCGCGGGCCTCGCCTTTTCTCGAAATGACCGTACGCGATGCGGAAACTTTCCTCGATCGCGCTTGCCTCGTCCGTTGGGCTCTGGCCCCGCGGGAACAATTGCGCCGCGGTCAGATTGTCCGCGCCGCCGAGGAGCAACCCAGCGGCGACGCCCGCGCACGCGAAGGGAAGCAAACAACGCATCGCACTGACAAGGTCGACTCGGCCACTTTGCGCGCGAGCGGATGTGCTTGGGTCGGTTCGATCGGCGCGGAAGCGCGCCCCCGTGCGCCCGCTGGCGGAGGCGGCGGCGGCGGCCGCTCGCGATTTGGACAGGCGTCGCTGGGCGCGGCGAGCACGCCGGTTCGACCTGCGCGCCCTCGCTGTCAGGAGCCGACGTGGAAGGGAGGGAGAGCCGCATAGACATCGGCGCTTGGACTCACGTCTCACAAGGCAGCGCACGAACCGCGAGATTGACAGCGCTGGCGCGGCGCCGCGCTTCCATCGGGCCCAGGCCCGAAACGTTGCCCCGCCCCCTCCTCGACTGCGGGGCTCGCTGGAGCATCGGGCACTCTTGCGGCAGAATGCAGCAGAGAGCTTTTTGCACTTGCGGCGGGGCTGGGGCGGGGACATAGGACGCGGCTGCAAGGCATGATGGGGAAAGGCAAAGGATGCGAGCGGCAACTGGAGGACGCGTCGCCCTACCGATTCTGGACCCCACAGTGGAGGCTCGCGGGGGCTAAGAGTTACACTGATGGTTGTCTGGCTAATACTGAGCGCTCGCGAGGCGCGAGCCCAGGTGGAGCGGAACGCCTGGGCGCGCGCGCGTTCCCGCGGGGCCGCCCGCGCCACGAACGGCGCAGCGAGCGTTCCGTCGTCTCGCAGCTGAGCCCTGCCGCCTCTCTTGCGCCGAGCGAACTCACGCGCGGGCCGGCGCCCAGCGCTGGCTGGAAGAATGAAAGCTTCCGCGGGCTACGGCAGCGCGCGCGCCCGCGCGTTGCCAGAGCGCGCCGATGGCGCGAGCAGTGCCCTGTCGGGACCGTATACGCGAGACGCGCGAGGGACGACGATGTTGACCTGTCCGCGCGACCCCGAGGTATCGTCCGATATTTCAGAAGAGACAGGCATCCCCGTCAAGTGAGTTATGATGGAGCCAGCCAGGCGCTGGAGCTCCACATCGCTCGCCGGGGATTTCATCAACCGCGACGCCGACGCTAACACGCCCATGGCTTTCATCATGGGCTTGGCGCTTGGCTCGGAAACTTCATGTAATAACCGAACCAGCGCGTCGCGCGCCTTCCTCCCCCCCGCCCCTAGACGCGGCGCGAGCTCTGATATTTCCTTTCTGAGAGCGTCCAGGCGAACGGTCTCCGCCTCGATGTCGGACACGTCTTGCCCGCTTCGCGCCGACGCGAACGCCGCTGCGCTCGCGCGTCGCAGCCCTCGAGCCGACGCGCGCACGAGATGGCGGCGCGCGCGTCGACCGCGGCGCGGCCCGCGCGAGGGAGCCGCACGCAGCGCGCGCGCGCCCCTGCGCGGAGGCGCGCCTTCTTGGGCTGGCGCGCTCGGACTGCCGAAGAACTTCGGAGAGGTGCCCGCGATTTGCATGCCGCCAACCCCCTCGCGCATTGCAGTGCCGTCGCGGCGGCGCGCCGCGTCTGCGACGCTGAGTGCGCGGCCGCTCCTCTTGCGAAGCGCCGAGAATCTGGTTCGCCGCGCGCGCAAACTTGGACGCCATGTCTGCGTCGGCTTCAGCCTCGCCGACGAGATGGGCAAGTCGACCGCGGAAGCTTTGCGCGTCTGCAAAGCCCCCCCCCCCCGCGCAACTCGCCGCGCCCCAGGGCGCCGACCCCCTGGGCTGGGCGAGGCGCCGCAACTCGCGGCGCCGAGCGGCTGCTCGTAGAGCCGCCATCTCGCGCTGGCTAACGACGCGAAGCGCGGGGCGAAAAGCAAATCTGGGCGTGCCCTGCGCTCCTTGGAAGGCGCGGACGTCTGGCCCGCTGCCGCTCGTATCCTGCCACGCAAGCGAAGGCCGCGCGCGCGCCAACGCGGTCGCGTTGGTCTGACCCGCGCGGCGAAATCATATTGCACGCGCACGGCCTCGGCCAGGCCAGTTCGGGCGCTCGCGCAATCCACTTCGGGGCAGCCCGCGAGCGCCGTCGCGGGGCGACCGCCCACGCCCTGCTCGGCAGCCGCAGCGGCGGCGCCATGGAGCTGCACGAGCGCAGCGACGGCGCACAACGCGCAGAGAGCCATGGCTGCAGCCCCCCCCCCTCGGAAAGCGCAGGCCTAAAGGCAAAAGAACCTGCCGCAATTCCGCCCCGGGCCGCGCGGGCTGATGGCGTGTGCAAATTTCTGCGTGCGCAGGACGCTTCGCCCATTCGGAGTCGGACCCGCGGCGTAATCGTTGAGCTTCGCCTTAAATGCCAGCGGCCGCCCTGCCTCGCTTGTCAAACGCTTGCGCGTCGCATCAGGCACTTGCCCCACAGGTTGCTGCATGCGTCCAACGCGCGCGCGCGCCTGCGTATGTCTGCGCGCTTCTTGCGGGTGGGCGAGCTCGAGGGGGCGGGAATCGACTGGGAGCGGAATCCTGGTTTCCCTGAGCCACCGTCAATGCACTTCGCCCTGCGCCTCAAGAGATTTACTAAGAGCGCGGCCCGGAAAAAAAAAAAAAAAACAAGTTGCGCTGTCGCACTGCACTCTATGCTGGAGTTGCATGCGCCTCGGCAACAATGCACCGCCTCGGCGAGCGGAGAAGATTCGCTTCCCCATCGCTGCAGACCACGGGGTACAAGCTCGACACTGGGCGCTGCGTCCTGGGCGGCGTGCCCCTGTCCAGGATGCGTCGCGATGCGCCCAGACTGCGCCGCGCGCAATGGGCCCCTTAGCACTTGCTAAATTGGGGCCCACAGAGAACACTGCGATGTTCTGGGCCCACGCGCCAAAACCAGACGACAAATCCAACATCCACGGATCACGCGTGAAATTTCGCGGCTTGGCACCGCGCGCGCACGGTCGCCACTTCGCGCGTTTGCGAGCAGCCGCGCATAATGCAGCGCTCGACGCAGCGCGCAGCGATGTGAGATCAGGAGGACGATGCGTTTCCTACAGGGGCGCCAATGAAAGGGACTGCTGAGACCGCGGCGTTGCATCTCATACTGACTTCGAGAAGTGCGAGTGACAGCGTCATGCGGCGACCCTGAGAGTGAAGCCGAGCAGACGTGAGAAATCGGCATCGCCGGTCTCAAAAGTTTCTTTCCCTGGGGCCCCTGTTGGAACCACGTGAGAAGGTGCGCTAGGATTGGACTGCGGCAATGGAAAAAACCAACCATGGAACATACGCGCGCATCGCCCTCGCCCTCGCGCCCCGTGGCGCAGTGAGGCCTGGTCAGCTAGGAAGCGGTGGAACACGTTTTTCCTGCTCGGCTGCAGCCCCCCCCCGCCCCCTCCCCATGCAGACGTTCGCGCTGCCGGCGCCGTCGCCATTGCCCACCTGGACGTTATTGCAACTACCTGCTGTGGGTGCTCCTGCTGACACCCTTGCGCTTCTGCTTCAACTTCCAATTGAACTGATGATGCTGCAGCCGACGCGGCTGCAACTGCAGCTGCAGCTGCGCCAACTGCGGTCGCTCATGCAGCGCACTGGCTGAGCGTTGTGCTCGCGCAGGTGAAGACGCATCTCGCGGCGGCCGGGTAACGACCGCAGGGCTCGCCGTCGCCGACTATATGTCGCCCCCGAAGTCATCCGAGGCACAGGACGGCATCGCTGCGACGAAGGCAACGGACACGGGGCCCCTCGAAGCCATCGCGCAGGTCTGCAACGAAGTATGACCAGTGACGTTCATCGTCGGCGCAGGTGCCACTTCCTTCGCGCGCGGCGCTGCCTGCGCGGCCACGGCGGCGGCCGGCGGCGAGGCGGCATCGCCGCCAGAGGCCGTCGCGATCATGGCCGAGGACCTCGTCTTTGAGGAGCACTGCGGCCCGTTGCGGGCAACCAGGAACGCAGGAAGTGCCAGCTGGAAGCACTGCCAGCCGCGCGAGCGCGCGAGGTCGACGGCGACCGCGGCGACGCGGACATTGATGTTTTCAGCATCGGCAGGAACTGCTGTTGGCATTCGCCTTTTCTTCCGACGCGATCTCGATTGGGCCGAGGCGCCCTGGGGCCAGGCTCCCGCCCTAGCAAATTCGAACGACCGCGACCCCGCGCCCCGCAGGCGATCGCGCGCGCGCAGCTCGCAGCGAGCCCTCGCCAATCGCAGCAACGCTGCCTTCCCGAGCACGAACGCCACTCGAAAGCAGCGTCTTCAACTCGCGATTGCCAGCTCGTCGCCGCGCAGCGCATACAAGTCGCGCAGGACACTCGCAGACCGATCGCGGGAACATGAAGGTGGCGCGACGTCGCAGCGCGGCGCTGCCATTGCCCGAACGCTCAGCGAGCTCCGCGAATTCTGCGCGGTGCCGGCGCTGGCCGGTGAATCGCAGACTACCCGGCCGGCGTGGCCTAACGGAGCGGGCTCTCGTCGGCGGGCTCATCGCTCCCCAAGATCGAGACCCCAGGGGTCGGGGCGTCGTCGTACGACGCTGGGTCCTCCGCGGAGTCCATGCCTCCTGGCCCATGGTCGGGAACAGGGCAATCGCTCGGGAACGGGTTCGCATCGTCGAAACTTGAATACTGCGGAGGCAATCGATGCTTCCACGGCGACGCCGCTTCGCCGCGCGCGGCAAGGCCATCGACGGGCCAGGCCGTGTTCCAATAAAACGCTTGCGCACACACGGGCGGCACAGACACCATCGAGCACGGGCCAGCGACGTCGCTGATCCAAAACCCAGGGCACGTAATCAGCGGCAGGATGCAGAGGTGGAGGCACATTGGTGCCCGGCCGCCCGCGGCGATGGGCTCTTCGCCCGACTGCGGCACTGTGCATCGGGGAAATATAGAAGAACACTGCATGCTCATGAACGCCGAGAAGCACCTGCGTCGCCCGAGCAACAGCGGCCGATCTAGGGCGCCCCGCGGCGACGTCGGAGGCGAGATGCGCTGCCCCGCGCTCTATACCTCGGCCGACGGCGCGACCCGGGGCGGGGCCGAACCAGAAGCGCTTCGACGGAGAGTAACATCGCGTCGCCCGTCTTCCCCACCTTTTCCGCGTAAGCGGCGGGGAAGCCAGCAATGATGCCGTCCAGGGCGGAATCCTTCGGCCCCCGGGCGCGCCGGCGCGCGCTGGCCCAGCGCCGCGACGCGCGTCGTCGGGTCGCCGTGACGTCTGCAAGCACGAAGTCGGCCATGGTGATCTGGGCAGGAAAGCGCCGGAGAGGCCGCGTCGCGGGCGATCGCGACCCGCGGGCCGCCGCGCCGGGTACAGGACGGCACCGAAACAATTGTGGCCTGCGAGCGGGTACCCCGCCCCCGCGGAAGCCACCCCCAGCGGGGGATTCGAGCCCCGCGCGACGCGCAACACGCTCGAGCGAAGCAGAGAGCTAGCCCATGTTTTTCGGAGGAGCACTGCGAACCTAGCAACGCAAGGCAACCCAGCACGACGCAGCGCACGAGAAACTACGCGCCGCAACGCGCGCCAAGCGCGCTGCGCGGCAGTGGGCAACAAAACAAATCGCAGCATTTAAAAACCACTCGCCGCAACGCGCAACAACGCAAAGCAACGCAATGATGCACGGCGACGCGTGAGGCACGGCCACCGAACATAAAGTTGCAATTCGATGCTAGTCAGAGCCACGCGATGGATTGCACTGCTACCGACCAGCCAGAAGCAAAGCAAAGACACGCACCGCAAAATTATGCATAGACTGACCATGCCAAACAATGCAAAGCACAGCAAGTCAAATCGCAGACTCGGAATGCATCGCAACGCGCAGCTACGCGACGCTTTCCAAAGAAAGGAAAGCGGCGAAAATGAAACCACGCAAAGACTTCGCGGCGTTGGAGGAGAACGCATCAAGGCATTGCGACGCAGACGAGGGTCAATCAAAAGACCCCCTGGGATTCCCAAAAGGAACTTCGGAAACCGCCCATGGGGCTCGGCAGGGGGGGCACGAAGCCCCCGTGGATAAGGGCCGCGCACCTGTGACCATCGGCGCTGAATAGCGAACGCACGTCGTCGGAGCCCACGGCGCGCCGCGCGACGCGTAATCTGAAGGGCGCCGCACGGCAGCGGTTGATCTGCGAGCGCTTCGCCAGTCCGCGCCATCGCGATCGCCGCGCGCGATCGCGCTGTTCCAGATTGGCGGCGGGACCAGAGGCGGCACCTAAGATTCAGCAAGAGCGGCCACGAGCCACCGCGACGCAGCGGCTCGCGGGCGGCCGCGGACCGCGTGAATGATGGCGGCGATCGCGGCCTGGCGGCGCAGCGCCCACTCGCGCGAACGATCGCACCACTCGGGCCGCGCGCGGCCCCGACCAGCCTTCGCGGCGTCGGCGCCGGCCAGAGAGATTGCACTTTGCGCGAGGCGCCCCCCCAGGCGCGCGCCCCCGCCCGGTCGCGCGGCGAAGCAACGCAGGGCCCGTGGAAAGCCTGGAGAAGGCCGCCGCCCAAGCCTGCGACAAGGCCGCCTTGCGACGGCTTGCCTCGGTAGAGCGCGCGCAAGCCCCGCGGCTCCGGGCGCGCCCGCGGTCGCTGCGCCATTGGCTGGAGCAGCCCTGCAGCAGCGGGGCCCTGCGCTTGTTCGACGAGGTCGTAAGCGCTGCCGCGCGCAGCGAGGCCCCGTGCCCCTTCGCGCGCCGGGCGGAGCGCCGCACCTCTTCGACGCATCGACGCCGAAGAGCTGATCCACGGCACCGCCCTCCAAAAAAGTCGCGCGACAGGCGCGGCGCGCCGTTCCAACCGCAAACGCGGCGCCGGGAAAGCTGCGACCTCCGTCGCGCGATCGGCGCGACGATAATTCTCATCGCCTGGCACGCGCCTCGCGCTTGAGTCTGGGCTCGCACAGCTCCTGGCGCGCTGGGCTGAGCTGCCGACGACGCCCTTGTCGCAGTGGGGCCTTCCGGTCCGCGCCGCGGTTATAGCCGAGACCCCGTTGCGCGCGGAGGGCGCGCCCCCCTGCCGCGACTGCCGGCGCTGGCGCTCGCGGCCTGCTAGGGCCCGCCGCGTATGCCGCGAGTGCGTGCGCTGCACGGTACATTGCCTCCCCTTCTTTCAGCTGGCGCAGAAGACCGCTGCGCGCCTGATGCGAAGAGCGCGCGGGCGAAGCGATCGCGGCAACCAGCCATCGCAGCAAAGACTTGCGCGCGAGATCAAAGGTCGCAGTCCGCATGTCATAAAGCATGACTCTCGGCACCAGCAGTGCTCGCTCAATGCCGAACGACCCTGCCAAGCTCCGCCCAGCGCGCTCGCGCCGATCATGACGAAACCTTCCGGTCGAAGCTGCGCCAGCCACTGCCGCGACACCGACAACTCGCGCCGCGGGCCTCGCCTTTCTCGAAATGACCGTACGCGATGCGGAAACTTTCCTCAATCGCGCTTGCCTCGTCCGTTGGGCTCTGCCACCGCGGGAACAATTGCGCCGCGGTCAGATTGTCCGCGCCGCCGAGGAGCAACCCAGCGGCGACGCCCGCGCACGCGAAGGGAAGCAAACAACGCATCGCACTGACAAGGTCGACTCGGCCACTTTGCGCGCGAGCGGATGTGCTTGGGTCGGTTCGATCGGCGCGGAAGCGCGCCCCCGTGCGCCCGCTGGCGGAGGCGGCGGCGGCGGCCGCTCGCGATTTGGACAGGCGTCGCTGGGCGCGGCGAGCACGCCGGTTCGACCTGCGCGCACTCGCTGTCAGGAGCCAACGTGGAAGGGAGGGAGAGCCGCATAGACATCGGCGCTTGGACTCACGTCTCACAAGGCAGCGCACGAACCGCGAGATTGACAGCGCTGGCGACGGCGCCGCGCTTCCATCGGGCCCAGGCCCGAAACGTTGCCCCGCCCCCTCCTCGACTGCGGGGCTCGCTGGAGCATCGGGCACTCTTGCGGCAGAATGCAACAGAGAGCTTTTCGCACTTGCGGCGGGGCTGGGATGGGGACATAGGACGCGGCTGCAAGGCATGATGGGGAAAGGCAAAGGATGCGAGCGGCAACTGGAGGACGCGACGCCCGACCGATTCTGGACCCCACAGTGGAGGCTCGCGGGGGCTAAGAGTTACACTGGAGCGCTCGCGAGGCGCGAGCCCAGCCAGCCGCGGGGGGCGCAGTGGAGGGGGGGCCCACCTGACGGCGCACCCCCCGACTTCCCCTTGGCCCTGACGCACACGCCGCCCAGAGACATCCTCCTCCCCCGACCCGCGGAGCCACGACCGCGGGCCCTCGGGCGGCGATGGTTACGGGCCCAGCCCGACACCCCGGAGGGCGGGCAGCGCCCCATACCCACCGCACGCCTCGAGGCCCCGCGGCGCGGCACCGCGGCGGCGGCCTTGGACGTGTCCAGGCGGAAAGAGGGTGAGCGAGGAGAGGGGAAGGGGGGCGCGCATCTTTTAGTGGCAAAGTCAAGGGGGAGGTGCCACGACACAATCACGCCACGGGGCACCGAATCACATGGTCGAGTCCCCGAAATACGCATTTACACAACACCCACACTCGAGAGCCAGGCTTGAACCTATGTTAACTCGGAGCGTGCCTGTACCTTTAAAATCTTGATTTTAAAGGGCTGGGGGCAGGCGGGGGTAGAGCGACAACTCTAGTGAAAAGAGGCCCCACATAATATCCGACGCAGCAGCGGGAGGAGACACACCCACAGGACAGCGAGCGGCTCGAGAGGAGGGGGCACCCTCCGAAAGTATATGTTCGCTGCGGCGGGGCCCCATGCAAGGCCCGAAACTTAAAAGGCCGAGAGGTTCCTGACCGCGCCTCGGCCCACGGACGGGCCACGAAGCCACGCTGCGAAACCCCAGAGCCCATGCAAGCCCAGGGGGGGCAGGGTTGGGAGCCGAAACTTAGCGCAAGGAGCGGAGGGGCGAGCACGAGAGAGAACGAGCTAGCCCTACTCCTGAAGTACAGTTGAGGCGGCTATCTGAACGTTTAAAGGCGGCGTGTAAAAGTGTGTTTAAAAACGCGTATTTACACAACACCCACACTCGAGAGCCAGGCTTGAACCTATGTTAACTCGGAGCGTGCCTGTACCTTTAAAATCTTGATTTTAAAGGGCTGGGGGCAGGCGGGGGTAGAGCGACAACTCTAGTGAAAAGAGGCCCCGCATAATATCCGACGCAGCAGCGGGAGGAGACACACCCACAGGACAGCGAGCGGCTCGAGAGGAGGGGGCACCCTCCGAAAGTATCTGTTCGCTGCGGCGGGGCCCCATGCAAGGCCCGAAACTTAAAAGGCCGAGAGGTTCCTGACCGTGCCTCGGCCCACGGACGGGCCACGAAGCCACGCTGCGAAACCCCCAGTCCCATCTTCAACAGACTGGCAGTTGTGCCTTCACGCTTCCAGCCTCTGCTAGACACGAGCGCGGCACACATTCGGGAGGGGGGGAACGGGAGATAATTTGTGTCGCTCTTACCCACCAAAAACCTGCTTTATATTTTCCCCAGACTTATTAACTGTTCAAGGAAGACGTGTGGAGGACGAGGGTGCTCGCGCCCTAACTCTCGAGGCTCCTGCATTCATATCAAAAGATATAGCTCCAGCGGCAGGCGGGAGCCTAAATAGAGGGTGGAGCTCCAGCCACACGCTGGGCCCGATCACTGCCTTCTCGACCTGCTGCGGCCAGCCGTAGACGGGCGGCTGGTCGGCTCCGCGCCCCCGTCCGCCATGCTCTCCAGCTGTGGCAGCACGACCTCGTCGTTCTTGGCTGCCTCGAGCTCCAGCACCATGTCCTGCGCGAGCGGCGCCAGCACGGCGTCGGAGCGGTGAATGGCATCCGAGATCATCTGAGCCGGCCTGCGCCAGAAGGCCCGCCCCCGCTCGAGCTGCTCGGGGGTGAGCCGGCTCCGCTGCTCGATCAGCACGTGCACCTTCGTGTAGCGCTGAAGGGCCGACGTGGTCTGCCAGCGGCCCTTCAAGCGCGCCGCCTCGAGCGAGCCGCCCGCGGCGATGTAGGCCGCCGCGCCCGCGTGCCTCAGCGAGTGCGGAGACCCGAAGTCCGCCAGGCCCGCCCTGTCGAACGCCAGCCGCCACGCCTTCCTGTACTTATCCTGCGAGAGCGGGAAGAGGAGGTCCCGCGGCGCCGCGCCCTTGCCGATCGCCCTCAGGATGGCCTTCGTCACCTGCCACGAGACCACGACGCCCTGGTTCGCTCCCGTCTTCACCTTCTCGCCCCGCTCCCTGCGGCCCAAGGTGAGCCCGACCTC